TCATACAGATGAATAAACATCCAAAAGTTTTATGTGATTTTATATGAAGTTTTTAAACTATATTTTTTTATTTTGTAGTTGAAGGACTGTACGTATGAGGAGATACAGGAGCGCCCCCAGCAACCAGACCAGCCAGAAAATGCACTGACCTCGATTTATGTCACTGCTAGCGTCCCCACAGATGTAGCTGCCTCACCACTTTACGATTGCATCAACTTTGAAAGCTGCTCTGACAAAGCGGGTGGTGAGGCGCTGAAACGCAGCTCCTCTGCCTGTGAATATTCTACTTTGACATTAAGCAAATGTCCAACCAACCCGACAATCACTCAACCATCCAGACCTGCAGAGGAGACTCTCTACTCAGTAATCAATGAGCCTGAGCCAAAATGAAATGTGCTTTTTAAAGCGTGTTATATTCTGTGGAGCTGGGCAGGTGTAGGTGTGTGGTGCTGCTCTTTCTTCCACTCTCTCTCTCTTTTCTCTCCAGGGCCCACATGCCGCTCTTTTCCCCAGTCGGCACCTGGACCCACTCAGCCATTAACCCCGACATTATAAAATCCAGGTGTTGTTTTCTAGTGTATGAAACCGAGGTTGAGCAAAAGAAGAGCCCGGTAATGTATTTTGGAGTTGTGTTTGTGGGAGCAGTGTTGAAATCTAGTGATGGGCAAATTAAGCTTGTTTTGAAAAAGTGTTTGTTACCCACTTTTTCAACACAGTGCTCTTTGGCGGCATCTGGTGGCCAAGAATATGAAGAGCAGCTTGGAAAAGGAAAAATGAACTGCTAATGATGCTCACACTCAGCTCGGGCAATCGGACTACTGTTGTGGTCCTCTTAATATGTCTTTGGGGGGGTTTTCTCTTTCTTTTTTTTTGTGCGTGCATATTTCTTATGTATGTTTTTGGTTTGGCTTTTGACTTAAAATAACACAACGTTATTATATTTGCTTTTTCATTTAGTAATAGCAGAATGTCCTCCTTTCCTGGTGAATCGTGTCATGTTTTTCTTTTTGTTTTGATATTGATATAACAGCACTGCTGTCTCTTTGTGTCGATAAGAATAAAGTTTATAATCTAAAAGTTTCTGTATTATTTTGCTTGTTTCTTTCTCTCCCAGCTCTACTTTTGTTGCTCCCCACACCCTCCTCGGGCCTCCGTCTTGGGGACATAACAAAGAGTTTAGATGAAATCTGCAAATGATGTCATAATTGGTGGAAAGTATTTCCCAGAAGGAGGACTGGCTCAGTGATTTTATTTAGCACAATGACTGGTTCATAAAATGTGAGCTGGTCACACAGACTGTAAATAACACATTGTGTGGAAGAAAGAAAGGGTCATAGATTCCTTTATCAATTCATCTATCAGTAATCGATCAGGGAATTTAAAAAAAAAAGAAACTAATAACCAGAACTTATCTAAACTAAGAACAAATCAGTCTGCTTTGTGCTGTCGACTCAACCACTCAATAAACTTTTACCAGGCCATTCTTTGACATCTTACTGTCAGTGACAAGTTAACAGGTCCGTGTATCACAGTGATGTAGTTAGCATCACTTCCTGCTTTCAAGATAAGTGTTTTTCTGCATGTCTGTGGTCATGCAGCAGTTTATTTGTGCCACTTCTTGATCCCACAGGTTTTTAGTTGGAAGTTAACTCATCGTTATTTT